CCCTGGTCTGGGAAGATCCCCAGAGGCCACGGAGCAACTCAGCCCGTGCACCACAACTACTGAGCCTGCGCTCTACAGCCCACGAGCCACAACTACTGAGTCCACGTGCCACAACTACTGAAGCCCAAGCACCTAGAGGCTGTGCTCCGCAAGAAAAGCCATGACAATGAGAGGCCCCCGCACCGCAACAAAAGAGTAGCCCCCGCTCTCCGCAACTAGAGAAAGCCCGCATGTAGCAATGAAGACCCAACGCAGCCGAAAATAAATAAATAAATAAATAAATTTGTTGGGGGTGGGGGGGAAGAGTTCACATGCCACAACTAAGGAGCCCACCTACCACAACCAAATAAATAAATAAATATTTTTAAAAAATAAAATAAAATACAAAGACCAGCAAGCAGCATAGATGATCATAAAATGGGAACTTGCTTCATAAAATCAATTACTTAACTAACATTTATTGCATCTAACTCAGTAGTTTTAATCACTGAACACCCAAAGCAGCACCTGAAAACGAGTTTGAAAATGTAACAGATCCTTATTAGCTTTGTCATAAGGAATGATTTTTAACTTCTCCAAAACAGCAGTATGCCAAAAGGCAAGTCTAGGAAAACAGGAGGATTTGTGTTGGATTTCAGGCTTCTTCTGACTGCCAGTAAAATTCCATGATTACTCCTCCTTGAGCTTTAATGGCCCTCAACTCCCTGAACTCCACTGCATCAGAACTAAGAGTTCTGCAAGTTATTATCCTAAGGACACAAATTTAGAATGAGCACTGTACGCCAGTCACAACACTCACCTAGGGAATAGAGACCACTGTGCAGTTTTATACTGTAAACCACCATGAGTTCTGCCACTTACTATCCTAACCGGTCCAGCTGGTCCTACCCAGCTATCACCCTAAGACCTCAGGCCCGGGGCACACCTGTGCGTGGGAAAGTGTTTTCAGACAACAGAACAGGAGAACTGCTCCACACCCCAGTAACCGACCTGGCATTCTCATTCTCGCTGAGCAAATGCAACCCCATATTCACAGGGATGCAAGTCCTCAGCGAGCTCTCAGCAAGCAACTGGGCACTCTTACTGAAAAACAACACGGAAGACTCCACCTGTACCCACCTTATCAATGTCCCACCGTATCCACCATCCAAGACCTACTACCTTCCCCCTGGTCCATCTCAGGGAGCCCATCTGGAATGGTTTTGTAAGAGTGTGGATGGTTGTTTAGAACTTGGGTCACCGGAACAGTCACAACCTCATCCACTTACAGCCGGTAACGAGTGGAAGGTGGTTTCCTAAAGGGCCTCTCCTGGTCCATCTCAAGACAGCATGACACCGCTGCTAGTGTCAAAGCCCTACTAACTTCGTCACCCAGGAGATGTGGTCGCCTTGACTCTGCCCTCATTTACGTTCCCATCTGGCTCCCTGCTCCAGGAAGCCCTTAGCATCCTATTTATTATCCTTAAACCAAGTTCAGGATGCACGTGCCTGAGACCATGAAAACAAAGCCCTCAAGACAGGCCCTTCTGACCCTGGACAAGCTCCGTCATTGAGACGGACATTCTCTTAAGTCAGAGCGTCCGAGATGGAACCTCAGTCCGTCCTTTATGCTTCGTGTGACCACAGGCACACTGTGTAACTACTTAGCACTCTGTATCTTCTTATCTAAAATGGGGGTAATATAATACCTACGACTTTGTGGACTCACCCAAAGAAATAATACGAATATCACATATAAAGTGCTTACAGCAGTTCTGATGCATAGTATTTCTCAAGAACTTAACACTTTTATTACCACACTAATGGTACTGCAGTCGCCACCACCAGTGCTACTGAGTAGGAGCCCCTGTTACTGCTACTAACACTTCTCGTACTACTACTGAGATGAGCCCGCACGTTTTGCCAGGTCCTCTACTCCCCCCTTTTCTGCCATGACTGCCCAACAACCAACCTCCTGAAAGAGGGGCCAGTGCTCTACCAGTTGCACCTTATGCAGCCCCCAGGCCTGGTTTTCCTGGACCCCTAGCAGGAAGTATTACCGGGGCTGCACAACTTTGGAATCAAAGCTCCCAGCACCCCAGTGCGGCCGATACCCTCTCGGGAAGAACCCCAGTTCCTGTGGCCTCTCCCTCTGTGCCTGCTTCTCCCATCAGCTGCCACAGCAAAGACCTGGAGCTCATATTAGGATGGGATCCATCTAAAGTTTAGTGGCCCCACCCAAGGAACCAACAGTGCAGGACAGCATGAAAAACCTGCAGCTCGGCCCAAACCCAGCCACATGGGCCACAGTCTGAGACCCACCTGCCTTTACCTTCTTCAGCATCTGGTACCAAAGAGAAACTAGAGAACCAGGGACGGCAGAGAAAGACCCGCTTCAGGATACGATCCAACACTAAACCCTGAGGCCACTCATCTCTGCTCACCCCAAACCAGACACCTGGCATGAGCTGCAGGCACGCCCCGGAGCCCCAAGGTTTCCGGACAAGCAGAATTCATGAGCGCTTGCTCTGTGAGGTCAGGAAATCCTACACACACAGTCCACACCAGCTTGCCGCCTGTATTTCAAACAGAGACTTACTGTGACTATGCAGAAACACCATCATTGGGACAGCTGTACACAGGTCAAAGAAGGGCTGGGACAGACTGAGGGGCTCCTGCACCCTCTCCAACCCCTGAGGAAATCGCATGGGTTTGCATCTCCACCCTGCCCTTCACAAGGCCACGGCAGTATCTAGGTGGTCAGTGCTCTCTCAAGGACGGAACACGGCCCCATATAGATGTCCCCACCCTCTGGCACAATGGCCAAGCCACCTTTGTCATCAACGAGAACTCAATCTCCCAGGACCATCCAGTCACCTGTGAGGTGACAGAATTCTCTGTTTCTCCAGTTGTGTGGGGCAGCTGCCCACTGCCTGCAGTGGCCTTCAGGACAACAAAGCCTTTTAAACAAGAGCCACACAATAAAAAAATGGGTAGAAGACCTAAATAAACATTCCTCCAAAAAAGACATACAGATGGCCCACAAACACATTTTAAAATGCTCAACATCACTAATTAGTACAGAAATACAAGTCAAAACCACAGTGAGATTTATCACCAGTCAGAAAAGCCATCCTCAAAAAACCTATAAACAATAAATGCTGGAGAGGGTATGGAGAAAGGGAACCCTCTTGCACTGTTGGTGGGAATGTAAATTGGTACAGTCACTATGGAGAACAGTATGGAGGTTCCTCAAAAAACTAAAAATAGAGCTACCATGTGACCCAGCAATCCCACTCCTGGGCATATACCCGCAGAAAACCATAATTACGAAAGATACATGCACCCCAATGTCCACTGCAGCACTATTCACAATAGCCAGGACATAGAAGCAACCTAAGTGTCCGTCGACAGATGAATGGATAAAGATGTGGCACATAGATACAATGGAATATTACTCAGCCATAGAAAGGAACGAAATTGTGCCATTTGCAGAGACGTGGAGAGACCAAGAGACTGTCGTACAGAGTGAAGTAAGTCAGGAAGAGAAAAACAAATATCATATAATACTGCGTACATGTGGAATCTAGAAAAATGGTACGGATGAACTTACTTGCAAAGCAGAAATCGAGACACAATGTACAGAACAAACTTACGGACACCAAGGAGGGAATTGGGGGCGGGGGGAGGCAGGATAAATTGGGACTGACATATACACCCTACTCTGCAAAAAAGAGATAACTAATGAGAACCTACTGTACAGCACAGGGAACTCTACTCAATGCTGTGTGGTGACCTAAACGGGAAGGAAATCTAAAAAAGAGGGGATATATGTATACATTAACTGATTCACATTTCTGTACAGAAGAAATAACACAGCACTGTAAAGAAACTATACTCCAATAAAAATTTTAAAAAAGAGCCACGCCTCCCACCTACAAACCACCTAGCTGACCCATCTCACCCCCAATAAAAACATATTTATGACAACTCACCTTCTTCCCCTAAAACAACTCTTTCCTAGCAACTGCATCTTTTATACCTCCTGCTCTCACACACTCACAGGCTGGCCCTGTCCCTACGGCAGCGCTAAGGTACCAGAGAGCACGAGCCACCCAAGTGGATTTGCAGCAGACCTCCAGCAGGCTGCAGCCGGAATAGTTAGGCTGACTGGCACCGTGCCCCCAGGGAGAACTGTCTCACTAGGGGATCTTAACCCAGAACCTTCTGGGTCATGATGGTCACTGACCTCACAGCTTTCTGCCTTAGGTTCTCCCCTGCACATCCCCCTCCTACACCCTCTGCAAACTACCAAGGCTCTGCTTTCAACCAGCAATCCACTCCCACAGCCAGGGACAGAAGCCAGAACGTGTGGTGCACAGAATTCGTGGTGAAGCTGGAGCTCCTCCCCGTGGGGGGCTTTGGCTCTCAGTGCCCAGCCCGCTGGGAAGGGCCAGCCCAGCGAAGGGTGTGCTCTTCCGTGCTGTGGGCAGCTCCAACCCAGATGCAGGGCCACAGGTTCTGTTCCGCTGGAAGGGGGAAGGTGAAGATACCTTCTTAGGAAAGCATTTATCAGATGTGACCTGGTCAAGTTAACAGTTATTTGTTGAGCGCCTGTAAAATGTCTTATGTTGTTGCGGGCTCAGGTCCAAGTTTACTTTCTCCAAATCCCAGGGCACATCTTTGAGGTTTTGCTGGATTTTCTTTTGGTCAAGGATCACTTTCAGCAGTTATACTGAGCACCGAGAACATCCTAACATAATATGTCTTTCCTTTTCAGCGCCATCCCTCCACGTCACTATGTTTTTAATTAGTTAAAAGAAAAATAGTAACCCCCTGGAGGTCCACTCCTTTTAAGGACCTGTCCATTCTAAAGCTAAATACAACCGTTGGGCTACATGTTTCCTACACAAGGTTTATCCTCGGACCTTAAACGACTGGCCTCTCCCCACCCGTCGCATCCATCTCATTACTGAGCCACATACACCGAAAAGCAATGCGCTGTATGTAACAGCTTTTACCTCAATTAACGTAAAAATTCCCAAAACTAAATAGGATTTCCAGTAACACTTTATGATTGCTTTCGTTAAAGAAGGCTCCCGTGTATCCTTCTCGGCTCTCAACACTTCTTGATCCCAGTACCTGCAATGAGAAACCAAGCACAGTAAAGAACAGCCCTGCCATGGGTAAAACAGGGGAGGTGGCAGAGTGGAAAATAGGCCTTCACTACAGGGCACTCTGTGGCTGTCCCATAAATGCTGGTTAACTGCTTGCAGGGCTCCTGAAAGATGAGCAGTGCAGACCCTGAAGGACCAGAAAAACAGGCTCTGAGGGGAACAGTCACAGTCTTGGAAACAAGTTACTTCCAAGCTTTGTTGTATTCACAGCACCATGAGTAGTAGCTCAAGAGGGCAGACAGCCTCCTCCAGGGACACCAGGGACACCACCTCCGGGGACAGAGCTCAGCATCCAGGGCCTTGGCTGCTGGCTCCCTCCCCTTCCACAAACGCACAGGAAACACGGGTCGACCCCCCCCCCCGCCGGCCTCCAAAGTGGGCTAAGCCCAGGGTCAGCCTCAGGCAGGTGAGCCTGCAATGTCACGGGCGAGGTGGCTGCAGAAGAACCCAGAGGAAGGTAAAACCCACTCGAAACCACTAGCCGCACGTAGAAACTCTCAGCCTCCCTTGCCCTTCCCCTCACTGCCTGCTACTTACCCCTGCAGCTCCTCTCCAAGGTGCTTGGAGCGATCTTCCGGGAGCACCGGGTACATGTCATCTTCTTCTAATCTGCGTTTGTGACCGATTTGAAACAAGGGGTTTAGCCACCTGTTAAAAATTAAAAGGAGAGCGACATATATCCAAACTACACATCTGTGTAATTAGAATCCCACATCGACGGCCTTTGTTTTTTTTTAAAAAAAAATTAAAAATTAAAGAAAGAGGTCTACAGAAATAGGTCTACATCTTAAATATAGAGAGATATGGGGGAAGAAAATTAGATGCGTGTTTACACACACACACACACACACACACACACACACACACACTCTCTCTCTCTCTCTCTCTCTCTCTCTCTCTCTCTCTCTCTCTCTCTCAGCTCTATATGCTGAGAGGCCCTGGAAGAAGTGGCACACTGGTAGCAAGGAGCATTCGAGTCTCCACTTGGTATTTTGTTTTTTTAACATACACAGTAATAATTTTTTTTATTCTTCTAATAAAAACTTTTAAGGTCAACTCTCAGCAGCTTTCAAATAACACAGTTATTATTAACCACAGTCACTATGCTGGACATTACATCTCCATGACTTATTTCTTTTATAACTGAAGTTTGTGCCTTTTGGTCCCCTTCACCCAGATCTCGGCTTTTTAATATCCTTCCTAAGAGGAACCAGCGCTCCTTGAAGCAATGGCCGATTCCAAGGTTGGTTCAGTGTGTGTCAGCACCTGACAATTAGCTTTTTTCATCATAAGTGCCTGCCTGACATGCACCCAGCCCTTGACCCCAACAAGGCAGAAGTGCAGGTACACGCTCACCACGTGCGCGTGCTCTTCCTCCCTCCCTCCCTCCCTCCCTCCCCCCCTCCCTCCCTCCCTCCCTCCCTCCCTCCCTCCCTCTCTGGGGCTGTGTGACCCCAGGTGTGCCTTGTACCCTTCAGGACATGTGAGTGATAAACCTTGCCACTTCAGAACTCCCTCTTGGTTGTTGCTGAGACATGTCTCACAATCTTAAGAACCACAAGGGCCGGTCCAGCCACAACATGGGCCCCAAAAGAGGAAATTTCTGTGCGGGCTGCTATAACTAGACCAGGTCTAGGTTAGTAGAGCCCCAGGCATTCCCAGCAACAGCATCACTATCTACAGGCCAGGACCAACGGCAGAGAAAGGATAAGATGGGCTTGGACATCTTGCACCATAAAATAAGGAAGCTCTAAAGTAATCACAAGGATGTGTGCAAAAGACAGAGAAGCCAGCTTGAAGGGCTCTTGTTAGCCAAATCTGGGATACCTCAGGTATTAATGTCAGTGAATTATAACCCATTAAATAACAAAAGAATCCATGACTTTATTGCTTCATGGATAGGAGAGGAGAGAAGGGAAAGCTGTTGCAGTCTAGAATGCAAACAAATATAAAAGGAACAATGGAGTCAGAAAATTATCAATGGAAGTTAAACCTAGTGGATGAAAGCTTGATGTGAACCTAGTGGATGAAAGCTTGATGTGAACCATGATATTTACATAATCTCAAATTACCTCTCTACAAATTACTTATTAATGGAAAAAACAGTAACTATACAAAGGACTTAAAAAAAATTATCCAAATCCATTATGCATTATTTAAATGATAATGATTGATACGCAGAGACAGCCTAAAGGTTAACACTATTCTACTCACTTTGCCAGAGTAAGGAAATTTCCAAGGCCAGACAATAATAACCCATGAAAGCAGAGACCACACTTTTTTTTTTGGGGGGGGGGGGGCTGTGTTGGGTTTTCGTTGCTGTGCGCGGGCTTTCTCTAGCTGTGGCTCGCCAGCTCTAGAGTGCAGGCTCAGCAGTTGTGGCGCACGGGCTCAGTTGCTCCATGGCACATGGGATCTTCCTGGACCAGGGATCAAACCCGTGTGCCCTGCATTGGCAGGCGGATTCCCATCCACTACGCCACCAGGGAAGCCCCACACTTCTTTTATTGCGTTATTCCTAGCACAATACAGGTAGAAAGGAGATGCTAAAGAATTCTTTGTTGAATAAATGAATGTCTATGAATTATCAAAGAAGCAGTAAGAGAGACTGAGCTTCAGATTTTGCTAACCCTGGTAGCTTGGCACCTCTAACGATCCCCAGACCAGGAGGCAGAAGACTGGGTTCTAGTCCCCGCAGGGCCTCAACTGTCCCCCCGATCTCCTTCTCTGCTCCAGTTCAGCATCTCCATGACCCTTAATATCTCTAGGTCTCAATTTCCTTCGCAAGTAAAAGTATAAATCTGTGAGCATCACCACTAAATAGGTTTGAAAAATGTTTTGCCATTTATCCTACACTTATTCCCTCCCTAAAACGCTCAGGGAATTAACACTGGGATTTACCCTGAAAGGCCCTCTTTAAAAGTCTGCTCGCGCAGGAAAAGATGCTCAACATCACTCATCGTCAGGGAAATGCAAATGAAAACCACACTGAGATGCCACCTCACATATAGGGAGGGAGGGAGGAAGGGAGGGAGGGAGGGAAACAAGTGTTGGCAAGGATGTAGAGAAACTGAAACTCTTGCACACTGCTGCTGGAAGTGTAAAATGGTATAGTCACAAAGGACAGATACTGTATGATTCCACTTCAGTGAAGTTACTTAGTCAAATTCAGAGAGAAACAAAGTAGCGCTGTGGTTGCCAGGGGCGGGAAGGAGGGAGAGTAGGGAGTTAGTGTTTAGTGACACACTAAGGCAGGATGAAAAGAGTTCTGGAAATTGGTTGCACAACAGTGTGAATGTACTTCACACTACTGAACCATGTGCTTAAAAATGGTCAAGATGGTAAATGTTATTTTATATGCATTTTACCACAATTTTAAAAATGTAATGATACTTTGCCGCTTTCTGATTGCATGACCTTGAATTAGCCACACGGCCTCTCAGCACTGGCCTCCAGCAAACGGGGAGAACACCTGGAGATAATAACACCTCCCTGGGCTGCTGAGCCATCAACTGAAAGGATCAGTGTTGCTCTGAACACTACGAAGTCCCATCAGGCAGAGGGCAGAGGTCACCATGACAGCGATCTTGAGGAATCCCATGTGGGCCCCAGCAGAAGACAGATGACGTTGCTCAATTAGGCAAATTTCTTTCCCCATAGCTCTTGATTTAAGGACCCTCACAGATCCCTTCACTTCCCAAATCTGGGTACCATCAAGGCATGAAGGTTTTCACTACCATCAGATGGCAAGCTCACTGACAGGAGCCTAAAGGAGACCCCCCTTTTTTTTTTGGGGGGGGGGGGCTGTGTTGGGTTTTCGTTGCTGTGCGCGGGCTTTCTCTAGCTGTGGCTCGCCAGCTCTAGAGTGCAGGCTCAGCAGTTGTGGCGCACGGGCTCAGTTGCTCCATGGCACATGGGATCTTCCTGGACCAGGGATCAAACCCGTGTGCCCTGCATTGGCAGGCGGATTCCCATCCACTACGCCACCAGGGAAGCCCCACACTTCTTTTATTGCGTTATTCCTAGCACAATACAGGTAGAAAGGAGATGCTAAAGAATTCTTTGTTGAATAAATGAATGTCTATGAATTATCAAAGAAGCAGTAAGAGAGACTGAGCTTCAGATTTTGCTAACCCTGGTAGCTTGGCACCTCTAACGATCCCCAGACCAGGAGGCAGAAGACTGGGTTCTAGTCCCCGCAGGGCCTCAACTGTCCCCCCGATCTCCTTCTCTGCTCCAGTTCAGCATCTCCATGACCCTTAATATCTCTAGGTCTCAATTTCCTTCGCAAGTAAAAGTATAAATCTGTGAGCATCACCACTAAATAGGTTTGAAAAATGTTTTGCCATTTATCCTACACTTATTCCCTCCCTAAAACGCTCAGGGAATTAACACTGGGATTTACCCTGAAAGGCCCTCTTTAAAAGTCTGCTCGCGCAGGAAAAGATGCTCAACATCACTCATCGTCAGGGAAATGCAAATGAAAACCACACTGAGATGCCACCTCACATATAGGGAGGGAGGGAGGAAGGGAGGGAGGGAGGGAAACAAGTGTTGGCAAGGATGTAGAGAAACTGAAACTCTTGCACACTGCTGCTGGAAGTGTAAAATGGTATAGTCACAAAGGACAGATACTGTATGATTCCACTTCAGTGAAGTTACTTAGTCAAATTCAGAGAGAAACAAAGTAGCGCTGTGGTTGCCAGGGGCGGGAAGGAGGGAGAGTAGGGAGTTAGTGTTTAGTGACACACTAAGGCAGGATGAAAAGAGTTCTGGAAATTGGTTGCACAACAGTGTGAATGTACTTCACACTACTGAACCATGTGCTTAAAAATGGTCAAGATGGTAAATGTTATTTTATATGCATTTTACCACAATTTTAAAAATGTAATGATACTTTGCCGCTTTCTGATTGCATGACCTTGAATTAGCCACACGGCCTCTCAGCACTGGCCTCCAGCAAACGGGGAGAACACCTGGAGATAATAACACCTCCCTGGGCTGCTGAACCATCAACTGAAAGGATCAGTGTTGCTCTGAACACTACGAAGTCCCATCAGGCAGAGGGCAGAGGTCACCATGACAGCGATCTTGAGGAATCCCATGTGGGCCCCAGCAGAAGACAGATGACGTTGCTCAATTAGGCAAATTTCTTTCCCCATAGCTCTTGATTTAAGGACCCTCACAGATCCCTTCACTTCCCAAATCTGGGTACCATCAAGGCATGAAGGTTTTCACTACCATCAGATGGCAAGCTCACTGACAGGAGCCTAAAGTATGTGTCACCACCTAAACAGTGAGACATGGAGACCTGAGTCAATTGGCACCCTGACTCCAATTTATCACTGACAGCACTGAGACCACTGCCAAATTAGCCATCCCTCAACCCAGTTCCAACCCAAGAGTCGTCCTCACCACCATGATGCTCTCTCCTTCCCTCCTCCCGCACAAGTCTTCATCCACAGCAGCACTTCCCTCCTAACTGTCCCACCAGAGACCACAACTCCCTCCAGGCACACACATACTCACATACTACGTGGAATCTCCATGGGCCTTGCGTGCCACAGTGCCTGGCACAGATATCACTGGAACCTATCCAGCGTGACATCAGAACACCCACACTGCTGATCAACTATCTTACGGGTCAC